CAAATCCCTTGGCCTGTGGAGGATTTTCAGGTAGGGTTATTGTGGAAAGTTGTTGGACGAGGAGGTTTGGGTGTATAGAAAGGGTATTGTGGAATTTTCGATAACGTGTTCTTACAAGGTCTTCAACGAATGGAATATGGAGGTCAGTGTGAATGATTTTATTGGAGATGTAGAATGGAGCATTAAGGATTTTGCATAGGATTTTGGATTGAAGAGATTGGATACGGGATGCTTGGTTGTGCCCCAAACTTCCATTCCGTAGGTCCATATCGGACGAGTTGTGTAATGGTCAGTTTGTTGCTAAGTGGGTTAGATGAGATCGTTGCTCGTCAAATAGTTTGTAATGGCGTTTCATGTCTTGTCGTTTCAGGAGAGTGTGTGTATTCCGCGTCAGTCTTTTATCAATGTACAGTCCAATATCATTAAATCGTAATGTAGAACAAAGTGATTTTCTTAGTGCGATAGTGACTTGAACACTTTTGCTTTCCTTCACTTTGATTCTCCATTTGCCGTACCAGTCTTTTGAGGTGAGGTGACTTTGCAGATAGGAGCTTACAACGGATGGGTTGGAGTGACAACAGAGGATAGCCGTGTCGTCGGCAATATATATGTCTGTGTTTGGGGAAGAAGGAATGTCAGCAGTGTGTATTGTAAAAAGGATCGGGCCAAGGATGCTTCCTTGAGGGAACCCAGATTTTACAGGAATATAAAAGGAAAGGGATGACGCGGCAATATCGGTCTGTCAGGTAGGATTGGAGGAGCAGGTAAAAAATACTGGAAAGAAATTTCTTCAGTTTCCACAGCAACCCCTTCAAAAGCCGGGGTCTAGGAAGTCATCTGAGCGATACTGTTTTCGGTCAAGAGAAACGGCAATAATGTCTATCACACGGTGCACCAGTTGCAGTGATGTGACATGAGCGGAACCCAAACTGATGTGATGGGTACATAATAAATAAACAATTCCTAATGGGATCACCCAGACTCAACATGAAAATGCCAAAACGCGCCAACCCAACGAGGATAAGCAGATCAAAATGATCGATAACAAATTACACGTTCATCAACCCGTGGACCACACTGAATACTCTATTTATTATATATTTCACAACGACGCTATAAAACAAATAATACATTCTTTTGCATTCCTAGCTCCGTGTGAACCAAATAAATAAAGTTTTTTTTTAATGAAAATACGATAATTAAGTCACATCGTTCTTTAACTTTACCTATTTCAGTAACTAAGACCAACGACTACTTTTTTAATCAAAATCTCCATTAATCTTCATGAAATCACAATTTCACTCTTTTATTGAAAAAATAAACTTAATTTATATAGGAAATTTGCAAAAGTGGATCCAAACAGGCTGATACGTAAGTTCAAAACTCAACAAACTTCTTCTTTTTTTAATTTCTATCTGATAAAAGAATTCACGTCTACATGTAACTGTGCTCTATGTTTACTTATCCAATTTATGGCTGCAAACAAAATTTGGTTGATAAACGAGGTTGAATGTTACATTTTTTCCGATATGTGATATATAATTATATAGATTTATTTATATATTTTTTTTAACTAACATCGTTACGCTTTTGCTCCTCATTACTTTAAATTTAAACAATATTCCAATTCCGACCAGAAAATGAAGTTTAGAGATAAATTAAACTGATTATTAAAGGTTGTTCATTCAATATTACATACAATTAACAACTTTTCCAAACATTTGAAAATTAATGTCAATGTGTGGTGTTTAGTGACCGTTAGTCAATGATTGTTCGGAGGTTGTGAGATGCGGTCTGGTGTGAAGGTTTTAGAAAAACATTTTCTTTATCGTACCAACGTTTCGATCTTTATTGAGATCATCATCAGGGCCTGGGATTTATAAAGATACGCCGCTGCTCTACCACTTGAGCTATCGTGACCTCGATCCACTCGGACACTAACTTCCCATCTCAACCCCACCTTTTGAATTTTCCCTCCTTTTTGCCATTTTTCATTTAAAAAAATATACAAATCGCATCTCACGATCTCCTTATAATCATTAATGTCAATCTTCATGAAAAGTCACAGCCCGGTTGGATTCCATTTTTAAGAATACATATTTTTTATTATGAGCTACTTTTCATGCAAAATCTACCCAACTAGTTTTTTTGCATACTGCTTCATATAAAAAATCTTGTCTTTGAAGGTTTATTTGTTTAAGGTTTTGCTTACTGACAAAATTTAGTTTACATCATCGAGATGTGCTCAAATTAGCTCTACATTATTCTAGGATTGGCTATTGCGGAATTGAAACAATTACTTCCTTTTGTACCAGTTGTTTCGAAAGTGTATATATAGAAACATCTTGCGCTTAAATTTACACAAATCAACACAAGTTGTGTTGCGAACATATTACGAAAAGTTGGTTAAACCTAATTAAATGATTTAAAGTGAAGTTCATTGGTCTGTTGATTTACGCAGTTTAGCTCTAACGTGACAGGTACATCTTTCAAACGTAATAAAATTTAAATGTAACCAGTTTTTTACTGTATTAAATAAGTAGTAGAGTAATAATTCGTTTGTTATTTATGACGGTTTGAATGTTGAAGATAGGTAGTTATTTGGCTTTTTGTAATTTCAGGGACTTAAACACCCATTAGGTAGGTAATCAAAAACATAATATAAAGTTTTTTTGTATTACATGAGTCATTCGTGGGAGGTATGTTTTGTTGCCTAAAATTTCAAGTTATCCTGTCGAATAATACATTGAAAATTTCGAATTCTCATCAAGTAGAATTTTAACTGAACGCTGTGTTTATTAAGTTGAGGAGAATAATAAGAATCTTTTCGATTAATATAAATTTAAATGAGCATGTCTTGGACAAAAATGTAACGGTCAAAATTAACCCCCCCTCCTCGGACTTTTAAAATATGCCTTTGAAAATCAATGAAATCCCCGTCCAAGTCCACCTGGTCTCGAGATTGACGTGTACGATAGTTTTGCAGTCAGACACGGATGGGATTTGACGTCGATTTCCACTTCTAAACCAGTTTCTTTAGAGGATAAGAAATTTAAAAAGACAAAAAATGCAGTGCTTGGAAAAAAATAACGGTTACTTTCTCAGATCGGATGCTCATTATCCTTTCAGTACGCGGTTTCAAAAATCTATAATTCTATCCCAACGCAAATATATTTGCATCCAAGTCGGCGAGTAGGTAAAACGATACATTCCCATGAGAAAATAACTAGCCTATTTTGAAACATCTCCTGTTTTACGTTTTGACAGCTTTTACTGCTTAGCCACAAAAGCTTAATGGATTCTTTTATTTCAGAAATTAAGATAAATGGTCGAGATTGCTTTGCGTGTACCAACAAAGAATACTGACGACTTGTAACATCAAGTCAAAAATACGTCGCCAACCTTTATTAAAAGTCGTAAAAGAAACGTAACCTTTCTACGACCACCACATTTGGACGGTTTTATTTCTTAAAGCTCACGATTCAGTACTAAAGATTTCCAGGGCAAAATATACTATAAGCAGTATACAATTGCAAGTTTCAATCATCTTCAAATTACACTTCGGACAACGTGACTTATCACAAATGGTTTCAACAACTTAGTTTTCAACAGAATATGTTAGTTGCAAAATATTTCCTGAAAGAACCTTAGAAAAACAATTTTCAGTTTATTTTTACTACAACTTTGTCAGAATAGATGAATATGGAACACAACAGTAGAAGTTCTAAATTTAAATTTGATCGTTTCAAAGATTTTACTCCTTTACAAAAAAAATCACTTTCAAGAGTTAATTGTTATATTTTCACCAATCATCAAATTAAATATGTATTCGAATTTATTCATAAGCGAAATTAGACATATATAAGATTGTTTTAAGCTGATGATGACCTTACAATAGGTCGAAAGCTTAGCAGATAACAATTGAATTTGTTTTTCCATCTACACCATACCGAAATCCAGATTATTCAGAATTATTTAAATAAACATTGTTTCCCATAGGAAATATCAAAAGAAACAGATTAAGTTTGAAAAGGCGATTCAAAAATTATAGTTTGTCTGATAAGAAGATAAGAACAAAATGGTCTTAGAGAACCGGAAAAGATTAACGGAATAAGTTCCACTTGCTAACGTATTCAATTTATGTTTTTTTTATTTTTTTTAACAAATCGCTATTTTATCATTAGTTAGGAAAATGAGTTATAAAGAGATTAAACACCGAATCATCAAGTTTGCATACTTTCTGTGCGAAACTACTAACAGCATTTCTAGGCTCTTAATACTTCTTCGACAAGCAGAAATATCAAAAACTTCTGTTGAATTTGGTATGTATTCGTAGTAAATTTAAATAAATTGAAGAAAAACAACCTTTCCCGTTATTGACGAACAACAGCGATACTAGGCGGACCCAAATCCACAACAGGCTTACAGGCCAACGACAAACTCAAAAAGTCAGGAATCAACATTCATGATAATTATTATGTTATAATAAAAAAATACTCTTTTGAAAAATAAATGACTCCAACTATTGAGAAACAAAATAAAGCCGGACAAAAAACAAAATCAATAACCCTAACAAAGACCAGCAAAGAATCTTTATTATTATTAAATAAAACACAATTTTGTCATTTTAAATACGCACAATTTAAGCATAAATGAAACTTTGTTGAATATATGCAGTTTCAACAGTTGGTATTATAAGTGCTGAATTAAGTAACTTAAAAAGTATAATGTACAAGATGTTATGTTACTGGAAAAACGGAGATATTGGACGCAACCAAATATAAGACGACTATTCAAGAACTCAGTCAAATAATAAAAATATTTTGAAACTTTAATTTTTCAGTAAGTTAATTAAGCAGGAATAAAACTCTACTGGTATTCACAATAAGAATAACAAAAAATAAGAATAAAACAAAGCATACTAAATAATTCATCTGTATACATTAAACTATGTCGTTGCTCGTTATTTCGCCTATTGATTCATTTAATTTACTTTTCAGATCAGAGAGATGCAGGGTGGCAGGCAAACAACATCAAAAAGAAAATCAAACGGACAAATTGGACGAATGGAAATTTGAATTCTACAGGAGGAAATACGACGTACGACTGCATAAACAAAGCGTGGGCGATGAGAGCATTGGCCGTGATCTCCCGTGAGATTCAGAATCCCAAATATGGTCTTGTAAAGGTTACACGAGGTATCAGGACCAAATCTGGGTCGTCGTTTCTATGAATGCCCGTTGAACCGATTTTTCTTTATTTTTGCCATTTGTAAAATAAAATACTCGAGATGCCGTTTCTTTCCTCATTTTATTATTTTTGTTGTGTTATTTTTGTAAGTTTTAGTGTTTAGATCTTGGAGTTTGTCGAAATCCAACGCGTAGGCATGATCTAGTTAGCAGGAATTATAAATCAAATAGCTTTACGATGGGGGAAATCACCTGGTGGATTAAATTTAAAGAAACAAGGAATGATTCACCGTTCTTTTATTATTTTTTTTCCGGGGCGGTACGCGAGTCCATATATGGACGTATATGTGCTAAGATAGACAGACCGTTTGCGGATAGCGCGTGGGCAATCGTGTCAAACCAAAGGCCTTGTGGTCCACCCCCACGTCAAAACCCCCGCAATCCGTTTTACACCGACGACCAGGTAGATTCAGAGAAAAAAAAATCTAAGGACGGACACTACAGACCTAAATAAAGCGGGAGACGGACAAACGGCCACATGTTGCATTTGAATTGCATGTCTGATGGCGGTAATGTCAACAAGTGGTGAACAAGTGGTTTTGTGATGCCTTCTTTACAAGTGCCGTACCGTGATTTCCACCCATTTTCTCCATACTGTTACACTATAGGAGTAAAACACTAACGACGAACAAAAAATATTCAACTTCAATGTTTGATCCCGAAATTTCATCAGATTTGACTATCAGGTTCAATGGAGAACACGTACAACATAATTACTATGATCTGCTTAATTTAACTACCGTGTCAAGTGATGGGTCGATTCGGCACGAAATTCAATCTTTCCCTTAATAGACGGTCAAGTTTCTAAAGCTATATATAGCTATTATCCAAGCATGACGTAATTATTATTTAGTCGCCTTTTTGAAATTTCTTTTTTCAGTGTGACAATACTGGTGTGAAATTGTCAATACGGTTTCAATAAACTCAATTAAACTTTTAATTGGCTTTATTACCGTTGTACCGAAACTTGCTATCCATAGAACGAAGTCAAACAAATGGAGTTAAAGATTATCAGATCTGATGTAAATGTTATTCATACACCGCAAATTTTATACACAATTTCTTTGTTGTAATTTTATGAGAACAAACATCTTCAAACCTACAGAAAAAGAGGTATTCACGCAAACAGTGTTAATCGTATATTATATAGTACACTCGACACAAGCAAAGTCTGTTAACCTGTTGTAACTGGGCTACTTAGTAAACACTTTGAAGTTTAGGTAACTATGAGCTAGTTACTTTACAATGGAAGTGACCAAAAAAGATAACTGGGCTATTTAGTAAACACTTTGAAGTTTAGGTAACTATGCGCTAGTTACATTACAATGGAAGTGACCAAAAAAAGATAACTGAGCTATTTAGTAAACGCTTTGAAGTTTAGCTAACTATGCGCTAGTTACTTTACAATGGAAGTGACCAAAAAAGACAACCGGGCTATTTAGTAAGCACTTTGAAGTTTAGCTAACTATGCGCTAGTTACTTTACAATCGAAGTGACCAAAAAAGACAACTGGGCTATTTAGTAAGCACTTTGAAGTTTAGCTAACTATGCGCTAGTTACTTTACAATCGAAGTGATCAAAAAAGATTCAAACAAGAAGAAACAAGTTACATTAGCACCGACAAGGTGGGCAAAGGAGATAATTACAATTTTATCAAATAAACTAGGACACTATTTAAAAGATAATCTAACCATTTTTTTCTTATCTTTGGTAATAAAACAAATCCATTCATTATTAACTACGAACAACTCGAAAATCATTCTAAAACATATTAATAACCGTCTCTGAACATGTTAGCACATTTAACAGACCAATAAATTCAATTATCTTATTATTATAATAGCACGTTATTTAACTTGATACAACGTTGTATTTTGTGCTGCGAAAATGTCCCAAAATGTAATGTAATATGATTGTTATTATATTCCAATATTACTGTTTAATTATGAATTTATAACTCCCTTTACTACGAATTAATCACTTCGTTAGGACAGTATTTTATTTGTATAAGCGCTTGAGTATTCAATTTTCAAAATAAAAACATTATTTCTAATGTTGGTAATATCTTAATAGCGCAATAACACATTTAGCACAATACTGCGGTTCAGTGAATGTTTAAAATTATTAATGCTCCTACTTGATATATTTTCTTATTTCTGTAATCCGCTAATTCGATTTCTATGCCTTAAAAAAAAGAAAAACTAAAAACCGATAGTTTTATTTCTACTATTTAAATCTCTAATGTAATAAAATTGGGTTTGTGAAAGATACAAAAAAATTCATTGTCTAAAGCTTTAATTGTATTTCTAGTCATATTGTCTTCGTGCCATTTTATTATTATTATATATAAGGGTTTTTGCTACCCGAATATTTAAGGAAAATACCTCGCATGTTATATAATAAAGCATATATCTATGTATTTGTACATTGTTTAAATTAAATAAATTTAAAAATCTCTATTGAAAATGAGTTTTCTATTATTGATCCTATCCTAATATCCTTATCCTTCCCGTCAATAAAATAATAATTTGGTTAAGAAAAAGAACGACAATGTTTATTGTTGGTAAGATCTTGAAAAAAGGTTTCAATTAATTGAACCAAAACAATAAATTAAAGTTTAAAGTCATTTATCTTGACATCGTTCCGGTATAATAAACGCCAGTTTGCATTTTCTGAGAAATGAAACCACATAGAGCATAAAATAATGTTTTGTTTATAAGATAAGGTGAGAAAACAAAAACATAAAAAAATATGTATATATATCGTCATTTTATTATTGAAAACAAACAGTTAGTTATATTACCCTTTTTTTTTTAATTTTTGTGTCATGGACACTAGATGTTCGAAGTCTTCTTCACAACGTTGTTGTCCTATTTACAAAAGTATTCATACAAAGTGCAACTATCACAATAAATACTGACTTCAGGAGATTCGTGCACTATTTACGCTCCACAATAAAATATTTAAGTAAAACAAAAATAATAAAATAATAATAATAGCGCCCACATTTTATCAGAGATCATTGAAATAAAATGCAGGCCAACATAAATAAAGTGATAGTTACAACACACAATGAACGCCTTAAAATCAACAAAATAAATAAATAAAAACATAAAATTTTAAATGAAAAAAATCATGTCACTCGATCACATAAGTCGCACAAGGACAATAAATCCTGACAATGATAATTTAAACACACAAAACAAACTAGTTATGTTGAAAAAATTTACATTCCCATTGTCTAATATAGACTTTTTACTATACTTAACAATAAATAAAATATGTTCACTTAAAAAAAAAGAAAAGAAAAAACATGTTGAACACAATATACATATATATATATTTAGTTACAACTAGAAGAGATTTGTTTAAAGACTGTCCCTCCATTAGTCAAAAAAAATTTTGTCTAATAATTGTTTATATTAATTTATATATTACAATTAGTTTATTACACTTATAGCTCGTACAGCTTTGTACAGTGTGTTCAGAGGTAGTAAACGAAGAAGATTTAAAATTCATTATTCATTTGCTACCTCTTTAATTATTAAAAGTTTTAGGGTGTAACGTAAAGACAAATGATAAAACCTACCAGACACCTCTATGCCAAATTTGTGGTTATTTTCTTTATTAAAACTGTTGCACCAAAATCAACAATTACATTTAAAAACAAAAAAATATATATAAAAAACAGTAATGAAAAAGTTTTTTCTTAAATAATTTCGCAACATTTTAATTTAAAAATGGTCAATATTTGATTTTTAAAAGGGCCTGGCATTTGTTGCAAATCTTTGTTACACCATATTGACTAAATGTGTGATTTTGGAATGTCTTGTTCCAATAATTCCCCAATTTTGTAAATTAAATAAATACAAGGAGTCTCCGAAAGAAAGATTCAAACTTTGGGTCGTCAGTCAAATCAAATTCTGCAAAATAATCATACTTATGCAAAAAAAAAAAAAGGTAAAACGTTCTATTTTATATTCGTGTATAATATAGATGTCCTTATTATAAAATGAACATTTATAAATAACAATCAATTTGTGATATTGATATTTAACGATAAATAAAAAAATATTTTATCGCTAGTTTTCTTATTCCAAATGCAATACTAATTACTTTAAAAAATAAAAGCTGTAATCAATTATTATCAAAAACATTCAAATACCCACAAGGTGATAATGAATAATATATATACTTAACAATCAATCGATATGAATCTTTTTAGAATTTTGAATAGGCGAGAGTAGAATTAGTATTTAGTTTAATTTACTTTAATTACGTAAATTTGATGATATTATTTAAAATTAATCTTTCAATATTTCTTTGTTTTTCGGTACTATTTAATATACGTAATATTTTCACAGAATTTGACTGTACTCAATGCCTAAAGTTTTCTTCTTACATTCTGGAAACGTTTACCCATAGAAATTTGTTTTATTGATTTTCAAAAATTAATCTGTAAAAAACAATGTTAACGTGACTGATGCATCGAAAACCTTTGGTAATTTATTTTGTTAATGCTTCGCTACTGCTTAAAATTTTAATTTGGTTTGAAAATAAATACGGGTTGGTTTTCTCGTCAAAAATATTTCCAATAAATATTTAAAAACAAGAATTGAGTATAAATAAAACCAACTCCGTTTGTTTTAAACGTACACAAGTATCTACAATAAAACAATTGTAAACCTACTAGGAATTACGTATGTACATGAGTTTCCCCGTAAGTGCGTAAAGTGTGCAGGTTTTTGTGTCTTGAGACATATAAAAAAAGGTGGTAAAAAAACGTGTTTGTGGCATGCCAACTTTTGGCGGCGGAATGGGCGGTCAGCGTTGCGGGTGAGCGTGGGACATGTGAGGGTGCGGAGGGTAATGGGGTAAAGGAGAAGGACAAGCTTGCTGGTACCCGCTAGGGCTCGAGCAAGGGATCAGATGACTCGACGACTGATGTAACATCAGGTGGTGATGATGGGGTGAGGAAGGATGGTGGGTTTGGCCCATGACGTGATGGCCGTGCTGCGGGCCGCCGCTTTGCTGCATCAAACCCGTTCCGCCGCTGTAAACCAACTGTCTTACTTTTTGTTCCTCGTCGGCGATGTTGTAGGACAGCTCGGTCTCCTCGAACCCTGTCGCCGACATCCTCTGGTCGCCTCCGGAACCCGAAGGACACGGGTCGGGGGAATTGAGGCAGGTCTGGATCAAGGCCTTCCCCGCCTCTGAAGTTATCATCGGTTGCAACTTTCTTGTCGCAAATGTGTACACGTGACCAGTCTCAGAGGCGACGAGCAGCATCACCTGCGTACCTGTCAGCGTCGACAGTTCGTACGCCTAGAAAAAAACAAAAAAAAACAACGAGATCAGTAAGTTTAATAATTGGACTAAATTCTGTGGAGTGACAGTTCGTACGTTATCGTTTCCGATCATTTTAATCATCCTCGCTGTTTTGTCAGTGAAACGCACTGAGAATGAAAGTGATAAACTGTAATTAATTATGCTAATCATCATGTAAATCCAACGAAATTCTATTCTTCCATAGCATGGACTTTGGGAAAAGGAATTTAATGTTGTTGGTTACATATTCAGAGAGTTATATTATATATACACATTCAGTTTGATTAGCTTCATTGCGTTAGTCAATAATCATGATATAGACTCCATTATTTTATGGGGTGATAAAAAGAACACCATGAAACTTTTTACACTATCACATTACATGTAACAAGTATTGCCAATATTTGTTTTAATAGTTGCCTATCATCTTGGTGTGCCTATCCTCGCTGATTTTTGTTGGTTCAGGCGCGTTTCGGCATTCGTCATCTTCAGTGTCTGATTACTTGGGCTCCACTGAAATCCCCCAAACAGAACATGGTGCAACGCTTCTTAATCAACAAAAATCAGCGAGGATGAGAAATGTTTAAAAAACCTAGATATAGCGATTTTGAACATTGAAGACTATGTCCATCAATTTTGTCGACAAGTATCAACATAAAGAGAATATGTTAAACAGATTTCAATGAAAAAAATAATAAGTAAAATAAATAATAGTAATAAATGACATTAACTGTTAAACCATGTTACATTTCTAAACAAAATTGGCCTGGTGGACCTAACTAGAATTTAAATAAACCTCCTTCGTTATTAAGATAATGTATGTCCATTTTGCAATTTATCGACGTTATTTCTCTTGGAGGAGAGAAATTCGTGATATTGCTCTTTCACAAAAACTAACACTAGAAATGATGAATGATGGAGTGAGTGTGGTGTTCAATCCTTTTTATAAAGATAGTTCCTACTCACAGCAAGTTGTTTTGCAACGATCCGGATTTCGAGCCCTTTAGCTCATCATCAGGATGTAGAAGTCCTTCAACAAGATGATGAGCTGTAGGGCTCGAAATCCGGATCGTTGCAAAACTTCTGTGAGTAGGAACTATCTTTTTAAAAAGGATAAAAAGACACTTCTTTTATAATAATTAACATCGAACTCATCGAACTGCCTTATTTTCAACAAAGGTAACGACCGAAAAAGACGAGTCAGTTTTAAAGGAAAGTAACTGCAACAAGTCCTGTCCGCTCCGACCTCTTCCAGAGGATTAGTCCAGAGGTTGTGCATATTATGATGATTATAATAATAATTTAAGAAAATAACATATGTAGGTTTAAATCATAAACATGATGGACTACCAAAAATTTTTAAAACTAACAGAGATTCAAGTGACTGAATTCATTAGTGATATAAAACGTTGATATGTAAAATTTCATCTTTTTTTTAAACATTACTAATGAGTGGCGATTAGTGACCGTTAGTCGATGATTATTCAGAAATCGTGAGATGCGGTCTGGTGTGAAGTAGGTTTTAAACTGTCCGGCAACTTACATCGGTCTTACCTCCTAATATCTGGACAAGAGAGTAAAGCAACATATCTACGATTGCAAAAAATCCAAGCAAAATCCTACAGCACTCGCTACCCACCATTTTGAACACAAACAATTTCGACTTCAACAATCAAAAAAAAAATTACACACAGAACAAAACAAACATAAACGTAACTTTCTAGAAATGAAAACATCAACAGAGATAAACACAGCATCAATTACAGAACAGATACATGTAAACTCAGTCGCAGCTACGCCAATATCATTAATCAAATTCAATACAGATAACATACATACATCATTACATTACATTCCACACATCAAATATTTTTCATAGTCTAATTGTTCAACAATTTAGCTTTCCTATTCCTATTTATCCCTTTCTATATAATCCTGAAAGGATAATCTGGCCGAACCATTACCAACACATTGCTTCCCTTCGTCGGCTCTTTTCACCTCAAAGAAGCCGATGCCTTATACAAAAATGTCTTTTCTATACCGACTTCCTTCCCCACCCCTTCAAAATCTAACGTATATAAACATAAAACAGCAAAATCTCACTGGCACTCTCAACACGACACCCAATAATGGCACAGTTACACAGAAGACAAACACTTTGAGTGAGAAGAAATACTTTGATTGAATGTATTAAAAAAAATATATTTTTTTGCATTGTATAAATTCACTTTTTTCCACATCCTACATGTATTTGTTAAATTTAAACAATCAAATAAATCCCAGGCCCTGAAGATACAGTCGGAGTAAATAAACTCAGTCGGAGCTACGCCAATGTCATTAATCAAATTCAATATAGATAACATGCTATGCCAACATCATCACATCACACAAAACACATATAACATATAAAACATTCGTCACATTCCACAAATCAAACATTTTTACATAGTATAATTTTTCAACAATTCAGCTTTCCTTTTCCTATTTATCCCCGTCTATATAATCCTGAAAGGATAATCTGGCCGAACCTACGATTTTCCCTTCGTCGGCTTTTTCACCTCAAAGACGCCGACTCTTTATACAAAAATGTCTTTCTATACCGACTTCCTTCCCCACCCCTTCAAAATCCAACGTATGTAAACATAAAACAACACTATCTCACTGGCACTTTCAACACGACACGCAAGAATGGCACAATTACGCAGAAAACAAACACTTCGAGTGAGTAGAAATACTTGAATTGAATATAAAAAATATATTTTTCGCATTGTATAAATACACTTTTTTCCACATCCTACATGTATTCGTTAAATTTAAACAATGTTTGTAAATCCCAGGCCCTGAAGATGATCTGAATAAAGATCGAAACGTTGGCACGATAAAGAAAATGTTTTTCTGAAAACATCACACCAGACCGCATCTCACGATTTGTGAATAATCATTACTAACTAAATGAATACAAATAAGAATGAACCAATATATAGTTTAAATTACCTACAATAAATGATTTATTTAATTATTAAGTCATTAAATACATGTTAAATCAATTTGCAGTGTGCACAATAAAAACACGTTCAATAAAAACATAAAACCTGAACTTAGTTCGAGAGAGGTGACTCATTTTGATTCTATTATCCTACTTCATCAAGCTAAGTATTTCGCATTTAGAAGTCTATACCATTTATTCTACAAGTGAGAAAGAAATTATTTCAACTTTGATTTTGTCTTCCTTTTAAACCGTACGGTCTCTTTGTATAACTACTACGCATTCTAAACGGAATACTTTATCTGCTTCTCATTTACCTAATTTGGATCCATTCTGTGATGCACGATTTACAATAATAACTCTTTGATAAATGTTTGCATTTATTCTACCAATCTGTTGAATGGGATAAAACTAAGAGTAAAGAACACTATCAGGCTACTAATAGGCTACAAGACTGACTTAATAGCCCCTAGATCAAATAGGTTTTTCTGCGCCGATACTGCTGATTGTGGACGCAACGTTTCTCTAAAATAAGACAGCTTTCTTCAACAAACAGGTCGTTTAAAAGGTTTGCAGCACATATGTGCACATATTGTGTACACTGATAACCTGGGACTATGATAAATCATAAAGATACTTGGCTGAATATTCCGAACACCAAATTTTCAACATAATCTATGAAATCAACAATATAAATAATCTCGTGAAAACAACGGAGACGAACAGGTTGGTGTGACACGGATTTGGATCAAACATTTTTTGGTGATTCTATACACATGACGGACATGTATCCGCCACTTCTTGTGAATAGGCCCTGGTTTCGCAAAAAAAAGTTTAATGTTGATATTTACCGTTTTTAATAGTTTTATTTCGCCGTTCTGCTTGCTCAAATCAACTATGTGAATATCTCATTTTACAGAATTTTTGCAATGTAGATTGCAATAAAAATATAATAAATGCTATCAAAGTTTATCAGTAACCAAAAATTTTCAAAAAACCGATTTTTTTCAAAGTAAGCTAGGTCTTTTTTTTAGTGAAATTAACATGAAATTTCATTTTAGCACCTCTAGAGCGCCCCAAATATAAAGATTTATTTGAATTTAAATTTATCAATTTTTTCACACCTAAAATTTTTCCGATTTTTGAAAAGTCGTTAAAGGAAAATCTGAAACGGCTATAATTCAAAAACGACTAAAAAGATTTTAACGTCAAACACACTGTCTAAAAGAAGAAGAACGAACATTTTTAACGAAATATGTATCATAAAAAATTTATAAAATATTTCTATAAGAAAATAGCAAACTTATTTCTCAGAAAGTAACCTCGTTTTGTTAAATGGAAATAATAGTCCGATTTTAATGTTTGATACAGTTATAAAATGCACATTAAAATTTCTTTAAAACGAATTATCAACCATAAAAATCGACCCGCTAGAGTTTGAAAAAAAATTACGTTGATCCTGTACTAGGAATGTCAGTCAGGTCGTCGAAATTATCAGTCCAAAAATTAATTTAGACCGATTTCCGCGAAAGTAGGTTTCTAAGGTTTTATAACGCTAAAATCACGACAATGAGGCCAAATCCGAGTTTTGTCTATTTTCTGACCTACAGAATATTTGTTAAAATATTCAAAAACAATATTTTGTTGATTTATCTTTTTAAATCGTATAATATAATCGTATAATATTCTGCGTCGTAGAACATTTTTGTATTTTTTGTTAACCAGAAATGAAAATATTACACCAAAAATAATAAGTTTTTTAAAATCTCTAAATAATGTCATCCTTGGAAGGCAATTTTGTGTTTCAGGATTTTTGAATTTTTAACTTTTTCATTAAACTCGGTACATCGTTTGAGGCAAGGCGTATAAAATTATATTTTGAAGGTGAAATATTAAAAATGTGGCCATTGTATACTTGAACAATGATGTCTGTCTTCAGCTTCGGCTAAAAGGATAGGTATAAATAACTGTTGGCAGACGTTGGATTATTTAGAATTGACAGGAAGACTTG